GTGAGACTTTGAAGGGAGGGGTAGGGAGAGTGGGACACAGGGAGGGGAGGAGGAGCAGGAGGATGAGGAGAAAAGTATCAGGGAGGAGGAGGAGGAGGAGGAGGAGGAGAAGAAGGAGGAGGAGGAGAAGGAAGAGGAGGAGCAGGAGGATGAGGAGGAGGAGGAAACGGGGGAGGAAGAGGAAGAGGAGGAGGAGGAGGACGAGGAGGAAGAGGAGGGAGTTCGAGGTCGGCCTTGTGTCTTTCGTCCGGTTGCTGCCTGTGGTGGATCTGGATCTGCGAGCATTGCCGCGACTGAGAATGGGGAGGAGCAGCGACAGAAGCAGGCGAAGAAGGCGAAGGAGGAGGAGGAGGAGGAGGAGGAGGAAGGAGGAGGAGGAGGAGGAGGAGGGGGAGAGCCAGAGCGATGGAGGGAGAGAGAGAGGAGAAGAAGGAGCGATGGAGGGAGGGGGGCGGGGATAGCAGGGAGGGGAGCGATGGGGAGCCGTGGGGGCCTCCCGCGCGCGAGGGCGGGCCGCCGCCGCCGCCAGACGCCGGCGCCGGCGGCGCGCCCCCTCCGCCGCCCGCCCTTTGTTCGGCGGCTTGGGGATGGGGCCCTGCTCCTCCCCGTCTTCCTCCGCCCTCCCCGTCCTCCTCCCCCTCCTGCCTCCCCCCTCCTCGCTTTCCCCGTCCCCTGTTTCCTCTTCCCCGTCCCCGTCCCCGTCCCCGCCCTCCCCCTCCTCTTCCCCTCCTCCCCTGTTTCCCTCCCCGGCCTCGGCCTCCCCGGCCTCGGCCTCCCGTCCTCCTCCTCCCTCCCCCTCCCTCTCCCCTCCCCCTCTCCTTCTCCTGCTTCCTGACTACTCTCCTTCCTCCTCCCTCCTCCTCCCTCCTCCTCCTCCTCCCTCCTCCTCCTCCTCCTCCTCCTCCCTCCTCCTCCCCTCCTTCTCCTCCCCCTCCTTCTCCTCCTCCTCCTCTCCTCCTCCTCCTCCTTCCTCTCCTCCCTCCTCCCTCCCCCTTCCCTCCTCCTCCTCCCCCTCCTCCTCCTTTCTCCTCCTCTCCTCCTCCTTCTCCTCCTCCTCCTCCTCCTCTTCCTCCTCCTCCTCCTCTCCTCCTTTCCCTTCCTCCTCACCTCCTCTCCTCTCCCTCTCCTCCTCCTCCTCCCCCTCTTGCTCTCTGCCTCCTCTCCTCCTCCCTTCTCTCCTCCTTCCTCCTTCTCCTCACCCCTCCTCCTCCTACTCCTCCTCCTCCTCCTCCTCCTCCTCCACCTCCTCCTCCTCCCTCCTCCCCTTCTCTCCTCCTCCTCCTCCTCACCCTCCTGGTCTGAGCAGGCCCGAACAGCTGTCCGAGTGGTGGTTCTTTCGTTCGTTCCTCCTCCTCCTCCTTCCTCCTCCTCCTCCTCCTTCTCCTCTACCTACTAATCCTCCTCTCCTCCTCGTCATCCTCCTCCTCCTCATCCTCTCCTCCTCTCCTCCTCCTCCCCCCCCCATTCTCCTCCTCTGACCTCCTCCTCCTCCTCTCATCCTCCTCCTCCTACTCCTCCTCCTCCTCCTCATCCTACCCATCCTACTCCTCCTCACTCTCCTCCTTCTCCTCCTCCTCCTCCTCCTCATCATCCTCCTCCCCCTCCTCCTCATCATCTCCCCTCTCATCCTCCTCATCCTCCTCCTCCTCCTCCCTCCTCTCTCCTCTCCCCTTCTCCTCCTCTCCCTCCCTCCTCCTCTCTTTTTACTCCTCTCCTCCTCCTTCTCCCCCTCCTCCTCCCTCCTCTCCTCCTCCTCCTCCTCCTCTCCTCCTCCCCCTCTTCCTCCTCTGCCTCCTCCTCCTCCTCCTCCTCCTCCTCCTCCTCCTCCTCGTCCTCCTCCATTCCTTGTCCTCATAAGTAACTCCTCCCTGTCGCAGCCCGAGGCCTGTCGAAAGGGCGGGCCGGGCGTTCAGCTTGAGACTTCCTCGCCATTTATGATGGAGGGTGGGTCGCTTCCAGAGATCGAGGGCGGGTCGCTTCCACAATGTGGCTCTCGCCATAGCACCGCGCGCATGCGTCCACCAAAAACGGAGCTCTCGCCTTAGCGACGCGAGCATTCGTTTAAAAGAATGTACAAGCTTCACCTATTGAGGGCGGGTCGTTTTCAAAATGTGGTTTTCGCCTAAGCGCAGCGCACATTCGTTCAAACAAGGTGAGAGAGCTTCACGGATTGAGGGCAGGTCGTTTTCAAACCATGGCTCTTGCCTTAGCGCCGCGCGCATTCGTTTGAAAAGCTTGCAAGCGCTTCAAGGATTGAGGGCGGGTCGTTTTCAAAATGTGGCTCTCGCCTTAGCGCCTCGCGAATTCGTTTCAAATGTGTCGCAAGCGCTTCACATATTGAGGGCGGTCGTTTTCAAAGTGTGGTTCTCGGCTTAGCGCCGCGCACATTCGTTTGGACAAATTGCAAGAGTGTTCACCGGTTCTCACGGCTAACGTGCCATACATGGAATTTTGGAATATAGTCACAATTGTCATGGGCGCAGAAGTTACGTTTATTCGCGGTGCTGAATTCTCACGAATGGTGTTCTGGCAAGATTCCGGATCGTCAAGACGTGACCATCAGGTTAATTCGTGCCGTTGAAGTCCTGCGAATGTTGTATTGGCACGCTTCTGGATCACCGCACGTCCGCCCCCCGATGGGGCAATTCCTTGAGTGGAAATGAAACCTTGTATGGGGCCCAGGAAGAGGGAGTGTGGAGGGAGGGTGTGGTCCAACATCGTTCATGGGGCTTGGGCTTGCATTGGTCCTCCTTTTCCTCCTCCATTCCTTTTTCTCATAAATAACCCCTCCCTGTCGCACCCCGAGACGTGTCACTAGGGCGGGTCGGGCGTTTCGCTTTTGACTTCTCTCACCAGGTATGATCCTGACGCTTAAAACCTACAGCAACTTCACGGATAGCGGGCGGGTCGTGTTCAAAATGTTGTTCTCGTCTCAGCGCCGCACACGTTCGTGTTAAACGTTTACAAGAGTTTCAGGGATGGAGGGCGGGCCGTTTTCAGCATGTGGTTCTCGCCGCAGCGCTTGGCACGGTCGTTTACCAAGAATTGCAAGAGCTCCACGGATCGTTTTCAAAATGGGGTTCTCGCCTCAGCGCCGCGCACACTCGTTTTTACAACTTGCAAGATATTCACAGATGAGGGGCGGTGTCTTTTCAACATGTGGCTCTCGCCTCAGAGCCGCGCGCATGCATGGCATTAAATGTTGCAAAAACTTCACGGCTGTAGGGCTTGTAGTACAATGTAAGAGCGTCAGGGCGCAACAATCACGTCGATTCGCAGTGCTGCAGTCCCAGGAGTTCAGGATTGTCGGGACGCAACAGTGACGGTGATTCGCGGCGTTGAAATCCCAGGACTGTTTTTTTTGTAACCGTTTAAGATGTTCAAACGACTATTCTCCAACAGGCCAATTGCCTAAGACTACATCTTAGTGTAGGGGCCAGTGTTTGCTGGAATTGTGTTAGTGGGTGTTTGGTTTACACTGGTTCGCCTCCACCTCCTCCTTCTCCGCCTCCTCCTCCTCCTCCTCCCTCCCCATCCTCCTCCCCATCCTCCTCCCTGTCCCTCCTCACTTCCCCTCCTCCCGTCCCCTCCTCCTCCTCCCCCTCCTCCTCCCCCCTGCTCCTCCTTCCCCTCCTCCTCCTCCTCATCCTCCATTTCTTCTCCTTATAAAGAACCTTCCCTGTCGCACCCCGAGGCTGGTCGAAAGGGCGGGCTGACCGTCGTTTCGTTTGAGACTCCCCACCACTGATGATCCAAAAGCTTGAAATATGCAACAGTTTGGACGGGCTGTTTTCAAACTGTGGCTCTCGCCATAGCGCAGCGCACATTCGTTCACCAAGAATTCCGAGAGCCTCATGGGTCGTGTTCATCATATTGTTCTCGCCCCAGCGCCGTGCACTTCCGGTTTAATCATTTGCGAGAGTTTCACGGATGGAGGGCGGTTCGTTTTCAACATGTGGCTCCCGCCCTAGCGCCACGCACATAGGAGTTTACAACAAGTTCAAGGATTCGGATGGCTAGCATCCCAGAAATTGCGTTTTTGCAGTGTGGGATTGTCAGGGCGCAACGTTTATGTTGAAGCATGGCGTTGAAGTCCCAAGAATTGCGTGCTGCAAGAACCAGGATCGCAGGGCGCAGCAGTAACGGTGATTCGCGGCGTTGAAATCCCAGGATTGGTGTCTTGGCACAGTTCGGGAGTTTCAAACCGTGACCTTCCAAAGGTGCACTTCTTCCAGTGAGGATGAATCCCTGTATGGGGCCTATGAAGAGTGAACTTGGAGGGAGGGTTTATTGCAATATCTTTGATGGCGCTTGAGTTTGCACTGGTCTTCCTCATCCTCCTCATGCCTCTTCTCCTCCTCATCATCTGTCTCCTCCTCCTCTTCCTCCTCCTCCTCCTCCTCCTCCTCCCTCTTGGGCTCGAGTAGTGTGATTGCGCCCATCTTCCGTTCCTGCACGAGGCGCTTGGGGCACTGCACCCAGCACCCAGGTCGCACATTTGCATTTACTGGCGCCAACCGAACAGAAGTGTTGACAGGCTTCTCGCGTCCAGGAGGAGGAAGAGGAGGAAGAGGAGGAGGAGGGGGGGGAGGAGGAGGAGGAGGAGGAGGAGGAGGAGGAGGCGGGGGGAGTGGGGAGGAGGAGGAGGAGGAGGAGGAGGCAGGAGGATGGAGGGAGGAGGAGGATGCTGGTGAGGAGGAGGAGGAGGAGGAGGAAGGAGGAGGGGGGAGGAGGAGGAGGAGGAGGAGGGAGGAGGAAGAGGAGGGAGAGGAGGAGGAGGAGAAGGAGGGGCAGAAGGAGGATGGTCCCAGTGCGCTGGATGTGGTCATCATCAGTGGAACGACACATTATCTAAGCTGTCATTTCGCTGCAGCTACTGCGAGCGGGAGGTGAAGCTAGTCTAGCCGAAGCCCCGCCATCAAGAATCCGCTCAGTCTTCAACGCAGGACCAGTCCCAGCTGAGAGGGGAAGGGTGGCGGCGGAGGAGAGACAGAGGGCAGCGTGAAGCAGCTGCTGCAGCATGCGACCAAAGGAACGGACACCGCGGAGCTGAAGAGCCTCTTTCGGGTGCAGGTGGAGAAAATCACACCTACTACGCCTGCGAGTCCTCATGCTGCCTCAGGGGGAGTACAGCGCGCCGTAGGCGCGTGGCGCGATGCAGATCGCAAGCATCAAACAGTAACCAAAGTAGTCAGGTTTACTGAAAGTTCGCGCGTGGCCAAGGAGGAGGGGCAGGCTTCGGCGCCGCGGCTCGTCTTAGTAGAAGGGCCAAGCCTGGCGCGACCGAGGCACCCGCTAAGATCGAGGGCGTGGCGGTATCCGGAGGACAAGGTGGAGGCGCTGCAGGAGGCGGCAGTAAGCGCAACTTCAATCTGAGCTGGGACACCACGCTCTCCGAGGGGCTCGAGGTGTTGGAGCACGAGGACCACGATGAGCAGGACTTGGTGAAGGCCGAGGCCGACTTCAGGACGCTGCGCGCCACCTTGGACGCCAAGGAGACGGAGGTGGCCGCCAGAACCAGGGCGGAGAAGCTTCGGAAGGAGGCGTCCGAGCGGCCCACCAAGAAGAGGAAGGTGCAGGAGGAGCTGAAGGAGCGGGGAGGCGGCCAGCAGCCAGGCAGCGGCGCGTCCAGCAGGAGGGGGAGCGGCTCCTCCCACGGGCCAACCGCAGCCTGGCGCAGCACGCGACGTCGCAGTCGACACAAAGGGCGACGAGGAGCTGCTGCCTGAGGCGGCGGTGAAGCTGTCCAAGGCCAGATTTGAGGCGCAGCAGCAGCTCCTCCTGGAGCAGCAGGCGCAACCGGGCAAGGCCGTGGGCAAGGGCAAGGGCGCGGCAGCGGGCCAGCTGGGCAAGGGGTCGGCGGGGAACGGCGGCGGCGACGACCCTGAATGTTGACGATCGCGGGCAAGCGCCCAGGTGAAGAGCGCCAGGCGGTCTGGAGTGCAGCAGGCCGCCCAAGGTTTCAGTGGTTTTTCTTCGCCAGTGTCACGGCGTTGGAAGTTCTTCACCAAGGGCGGATGCGACTTCGCGGGCGTCACCGAGACGCACGTCCGCGAAGCTACTTTCAAAGCATGGGTCAAGAAGGTCCGAAGGGCTGCATGTCGCAGTTCGGCGAATCACGCGAGACCTCGGTGCAAACAGGTCTCGAAGTGGATGGAGTCGGGATCACACGAGGGCGGCGAGTGGCGCATGTCCAAGCAGCACTTGCGGGTGCAGAGGTTCTTCGCGTCGGCTCAGGCATCCCTTCGGCTTAGCGCTCCAGGACACGCCCTAGTGGATGGGCTCCAAGCGGGCATCACATAAAGGGTTACAGCACCTTCGTCGTTACGTGCTATGGCTCGCCCAGTAGCGGCTGCAGCGGAGGCAACCATTGGGCGGGTTCTTGAACACACGCCAGCTATCATGCATCGCAACTGGCGGCTTCAACATCGGGGTCGCCCCTATGATGAAGAGTGCGCGTTTGGGAAGGCTGACCTGGAATTCGTCAGTGGCCACGGCAGAGGCGGAGGTAGGTAACTTGCGACGCTGGCGCCCAAGGGTCCATTGCGCCATCTTCTCCTCCTCCTCCTCCTCCTCCTCCTCCTCCTCCTCCCTCCTCTTTCCTCCGCCTCCTCCTCCTCTCCCCCCCCCCCCCCCCCCCCCCCCCCCCCCTCCTTCTCCGCATCCTCCTCCTCCGCTCGGCTCTTCCCTACCTCGGCCCCATTCAGGGGCGCGCCGGGGATGCCGTGGCGCCCGCGCGGTGGGCTTCTGCCGCAGCGCAGGTCGTCGCGACAGCAGTTGATCGCGCGTCGGCTCTATCGTCCGCGGAGGCTGCCGCGGGCGGCGCGTCCCAGGGCCGCCCCCAGTCCCAGGCTCGAAGGCCAACCGTGCCCGCAAAGGAACAGGAGGGGGAGCATGCAGCTTCGATGCATGCAGTCAGACAGGGCTTGCTTGACAAGTGATCCAAGTACGCCTACGGCGAATCACTGCCGCCGCTGCTTTCTAGAATCGCCCATGTGGCCGAGCGTTGAGGCAAGAGCTCTGCCAAGATATCGGGCCATGTGTTCCCCCAACCGTTGTGGAAACCCTTCGGGGAACACTTGGTTGAGGATGACGGGGAAGGTCAGCCACAAGGAAGCCAACCCCTCCAAGCTCGACTTGCAGTCCCTGCTCGAGGGCAAGCTCAGCGCCGACGACCTCATTGACTGCGTGGGCATGTTCGACCTTGGCGAAGAGTACGAGCTGGGCACCGAGGACGAAGCCGAGATCGCCAAGCGCAAGGAGGAGCCCAAGACCGCCATGCAGGCCGCCGCCGCAGAGCTCTTCAAATCGGCCAAAGAGAAGTGCGATGCCACCCGCAGAGCCCACGAGGAGCAGAAGAGGCGCCTCAAGACCAAGCGGCCTAGGGCGGAGTCTGCTCCTCCTCCTGGGGGCAGCGGTGGCGGCGCTGCAACGGAGCCCGCCGCTGCTGGCGCCGCCAGCTCTGGAGGCGGAGCCCCTGGCAGCGCCGCCCCAGGCAGCGAGGTGGGCGCCCCTCAGCAGCCCGCCCAGACAGCCAAGGAGCGCGCCGCTGCAGTGCTGGCGGGCAAGGGCGCCAGCAAAGGGGACGCCAGCCAGACGCGGGGGTAGCCCAGGGCCCACGCAGGGCATGGCTCGGGTGCGTTTCGCGGAGCGCCCCGCGTACCACTATTTCCAAGCTGATGCCAATGATGTGCAGTGTCCAGGGGATCGACACTACCGACCACATGATCTGGCCCAGCCACCAGAACCAGAAGACCAGCTACATTCAGTGGGGAATGAAGCACCAGAACTACTTCAACCAACAGCAGCTCATCGGCGGCGACGGTGGGGAGCAGCTGCCAGTACCCCTCTCCAGCTGGCCAGGGACGTGCATTCCCCTGGGCTGGAGACACGAGCGACGCAGATGACGACAACAGGTGGGCCTTCCTTGTCGACTGCATCCACGGCAACTCCGTCTCCCTCAGCAGCTTTGTCGACTGGGTCATCGGCAGAGTCATCACAGGAGTGGGCCCTCTCTCCCTCGGTGGCCCCATCGTCTACTTCGCCCAGAGGATGCCCCGCTTCGGCGGGGGCCCACGCCGACCTGCCTGAGTCAGCCATGTTCGCCAGACCCTCGTCGGCAGGGGACTTTAATGCTCTGGGCTTAGGCCTTGCACCTTCGAGGCTGGCCGAGAGCGATGGCTCAGGCAGGGGCGGCACAAGTACTCCTTCTACGGCAGCCGATAACACTCAGCGCGAGCGAGTGGACACGGATGACGAGAAGCAGAAGGGCACTGAGCTGAACACGGACAACAGCAGCCACAGAAAGACCAGCATGGACGGGGACTGTGACCCCTTCGACCAGCTGGAGTTCGACGCCGACGCTTTCGCGACAGCTGGCTACGACGGCGACCCAGAGCCCGACACCGCGCCCATCGCCACTGACGAGGCCGAGGGGCAGCAGCCTGCCGCCCCTCTTCCTGGCGCAGTTTGTCCGTCTGAGGCCCTGGAGGCGAAGCCCTACGCTCAGGCACCCCAGGAGCATGTGAAGGCCAGCCGTGACAAGATGAAGCGGTATCACAAGCATGACCTTCACGCAGTACGTTTCTACTTCGCCAACTACACCAAGTGGAACCAGACTGGGCTCGACTACGTGAATAGGACTCGCGATGATGAAGGGTACCATGTTCAATTTGGCGCAGAGGCTCACTTACGAGGGCCACTGTTGCATGCAGCGGTCAAGAAGCTCTGCAAGGCGCACTGGAAGGTTGAGGCCAGGCCCGCCAACGAGACCCAGGTGCAAGGGGAGCTCGGCCGCGGAGGTGCCTGGGTCGCCGTCGGCGCACACCTGAGCTCCAGGGCCATCCGATTGCGACGAGCGGAGTGGTCTCAGCCAGCTGTTGGGCAAGGCATGTGGGCCGCGCGTGAGGCCCGCCTGCATGGCCACACGCTCCTTTTCCTCTCCGCCTACTTCGCTTGCGGGGAGGGCCTCTCGGGTGATAACATGCAGATGCTAGAGGAGATGGCTAGCAAAATCCAGGCCACTGGGGCCCCCTTCATCCTCTTAGCCGACTGGAATATGGAAGTATCGGAGGTTCGGGAGTCTGGGATTGAGGACTACCTCGACGCGAGGTTCGTGTTTCCAGAAGGGGCCTCTCGGGAGTTCGGCAAGCGGGTGATCGACTTCAGGCTGGTCTCCTCCCACCTCGTTCCTGACCTCACCTTGGAGTATGACCTAGAGGGGCCATGGGCCCATCCACATCTTGGCATTCGCGGCAGCTTGGCAGGAACTTTCAGGGAACGGCAGATGCAAGTTCTCACCCAGCCAGTACCGCTTCCCCTGGACGTGTAAGGGCCTACGCTGGCCTGGGAAGTCTTCCTGGAGAAAGCTCGTGCTCGACTTCCAAGCCGGCCCCGAACAGAGTATTTCACTGCCGAACCCTGTGCCGATCCAGCTCTTACTGACAGGCATGCTCTCTTTTCAGGTGCAGCTGAGGAGCTGCACAAGTCCAAGCTTGTTGGCGTGCGCGACCTTGCGCACCACCGCGGCTGCTCTGGCCTGACGATGAGACCTGCCATGCCACCAGCCAAACAAAGCGGACAACATGGGGGCGCACATAAGCTAGCCTTTTGGACATGTATGGTTGCGCGGCTTCAGGACCTCCACGGACTCCGCATCGGAAAGGAGAGCCCAGGGAAGACGGCAAAGCGCCAACAAGTTGAAGAGCTCATCCAGGCCAAACTCGGGAGCATCCAGGAGCATTATGTTCCCAAGGGATCTCAGGAGGACCCCATCCAGATCATCGCAGACATTCAGGACATCCAGATGCAGGCCCAGCAGATGCCCCAACTATCCCAGGACGGCATTAAAGACATGGCCAAGAAGTGTAAGGCTCTCCGAGACCGTGCCGATCATGAAGTTTATCGCGGTAAACAAGCTGGGTTCCAGGAGTGGCTCTCCCAGAGCCTCCGAGGGGGGGCCAAGTGGGCTCATCGACATACCACCACCTGGGGCCACCCAGAGGCCATACCAGCCCAAGAGCTGGACACGGAAGGGGGCCCACCCTGGGACCCCTCGGAGGCTCTGAAGACCAAGCAGACTCGATGGCAGACACTCTGGAAGGACCCTGGAGGCCAAGGGCATCCCTCTTCGCAGAGCTGGCGGCAAGTTTTTCTCCAGGAAGCGCAGGTCCAGGTACCTGAACTGTCAGAACCTCAAGCCCCACAGGTCTTGGCAGCGTGCCAGGCCTTCCCGAGCTCTATCGGCATGGGGGCCGACCAGTGGAACCCCAAGCTCTGCGCCGCTTTGCCTGAGGACGCGCGCGATGAATTAGTCGGTCTCTTGCAGGACATCGAGCGCACCTGCGCGTGGCCAGAGCAGATCCTGTTGAATGAAGTTGGCATGCATCCCAAACCCACAGGGGAACGGGACAGACCCATCACTCGGACCCAAGGAGTTGCACCGCACCTGGTCCCGACTCAGGAAAGAAGCTGCCACCACCTGGGAGAAACAGAAAGCAGGATTCTGGGTTGCAGCCGTACGAGGTTCCGACCCTTTGAAGGCGGCCCTTCTCAGGCACGCCAAGGCCGAAGCAGTGAGCTGGATCTCGGTCGACTGGGCCGTCCTGCTCCTTGATGCGGAAAAGTTTTTCGACGCGCTCAGCCCTTTCTGGATATATACACCCTAGGCAAAGCACATGATTACCCATTACACACCATGTACATGGGCATGTGCGTGCACACCGCAGATAGGGTCCTCATCTTAGGGCGCGAGGCTTCAGACTTTATCTCGGTCGAGCGCTCCATCCTCCAGGGGTGCATGCAGAGTGTGAGCTGGACGCGTGCGTATCTACACGACATGCTTGACGCGGCACATGCACGATCCAGGCCCATGGAGATCAGCGCCTGGGTCGACGATATCTCCCTGTCCTCCAGAGGCCCCAAGGCCATCGTGCATCGGCTCACCACCCAGGGCGCCATCGACTTGGTTTACCACATGAGAGCCCGAGATCTCCGTCTCTCAGGAAAGTCCCAGCTCCTCGGTAGCAATAAGGTCCTGGCCCAAGGGGTCCACAAGGCCCTCCAGAAGGTTGATATCCATATCCAGCTGACCACCAAGACGAGAGACCTCGGACTTGACTTTGCTTCAGGACGGCGATCTACGAAGGTTGCCAAAGGTAGATTGAAGAAGGCCTTCGCCAGGGCCGAGCGGGTCAAGAAGCTCCTGAAAGCCAACCGCCAAGCCAGCAAGCTCAACCTCACGGGGGTCAAGCCACAAGCTTC